AACTGTCATGTTTTTAGAATCCTCTCAGACATAAATATAGAGGTTTTTGCACCTGTTTCTGAAACGCGCCAAAACAAAACTCTCTCTGTCTGTGAGAACATTTCTGATCTTTCCATAACAATTCTTGCTGTCTTCTAACCTCTTACGTCACAAAACACACCCCGTCTGGTCGGTTCTGACCAATGGTAATACTCCCAGATGGACCGGAAAACAGCTCTTTAAAATGTCAGTACTTCCTGGTCTACTCGGTTCTGCTCGAGATCTGTAAACTACACAGTTCTGTTAGAAGTGTCTGGGATGGTGCTGGAACAGTTCTGGGACAGTTCTGTTCAGTTCTGATGGAGTGCTGTTGGAGTTCTGCTGGATACACAGTTCAACCAGTTCTGTGAGAGACGGGATGATCCTGACATGACAACAGAGCTCTTCCGAGTTCCATGGGATTATAACATTTTCACTCGCCACTACTTCTGACGATTCACAGCATCCTAAGGAGACGCTGGACAGGTAGCGTTAACGGAGCTCCATATCTGCTGATTAACTTCAGAGAGGTAACGAGTCAAGTTTCCTACCAAGCGTACCGGGGAGAGCTGGGTTCTGACGGAGAGTGTCAATTCTGGTGAACACTTCCCCTCCCATACCATCTTTACTCCCTCTAAACTTCTTTCCCATCTTTAAACTTTCTATCAAGTAGATATACTTCCAGATATTTAGAAATGTCTGTGTAAAATGCTCATCCACATCCGTGTGGGTAAAAGATCATAATTGTACAGTTTCATAAATGTCTGTGGTGAAGCAACGGAAAAATCATGGCCGTATGATTTTTCCTGATTGATTGCTTATGTTGTTATTTTCATAATTTGCCAAATTAATGTAAATGTTTGATGTTAAACTTTGATTCTGTAAATAAATGACCGCATTCATTTTGATGGGTCAAACATAAATGACGTCTCACGTTTGCATTTCCTTAAATTCAATGCACGTTTTATTCAGTCCAGAAAAATGAGGAATCCGTGTTAAATGATGAATATATCCGAGCATCTGTTCATCTACATCAGCCTTGTTTCCGAGCCCGCTGTTGGAGTGATGTGCCTGTCTGAGCTTTGATCACAGATGCTGTCATCTCACCTTCAAGCACTTCATACCCCGGAGTCTTTCAGTTTATCAGCACGAGCTCTTGTCTTCTTTTCTTATCACTTGTGGAAGCAGAGATTCTACTGAGGAGACAACAAATGTATCTTCATTGCTCAGTTCTTGATTGAACTTTGATTAGTCCTCCCCAAACGCAAACAGGTGGTGCTGGAAAGAGGGATGTTCTTTTCTTTTATCTTTTCAGTCTTTTGACTCCTGAAGCTGGACCTTCAGTGTTTTGTTTTCTTGTATGATGACAGACAACATCACCTGTTTTATTTTTGCCCAGAAGCTGCAGTGTGGTGTTTCCAGCTCTCTTCAGGGATCGAGTTTGTCCCTGCCCTTCATTTATCATGAATCACCTTCACCCGAGCCCCTATTTGTCTTTGTGTTCTTCCTTTCTCTGTCATATTTCAGTGTAAAGTCATTTTAAGGAAATAAATGTATTTCCATACAAAGCGATGTGATTATTTCATATTGGAGCCACTTGCACTTTGCTTAAAAATTTCATCTAATCATTGCCTTTATTGATCAATCATATACCTGTACCTTGGTGCCTTTCACAAGATTTGAGCAAACTTGAACAATATACATGATCAGTGGTAATGAACACCATGTGTTCACTGGTATTTTCTCTCTAACAATTCCTTCAGAGGAAACTATAGTATTTCTGTACTTTTACTTATAAAATTAGCATATTTCCTATTTTATTTGCTACTCTTCCAAGAGTAAATATGTTTAAAATATGCTAAACTGGTTTCTAAAGTATTTAAAAAGAAAATCAAACATTAGGGTGGCACAGTTGGTAGAGCTATTGCCTCTCGGTGAGAATGTTGCCGGGTCGAATCCTGACGGGGGGCCTTTCTGGGTGGAGTTTGTATGCAGCTTAATATTGTAATTGTTTTGTCAGTTTCAAACAAACAAACAAACAAACAAACAAAAAACAAGAGTTAGATTAAAGATATGTGTCAAATGAAAGGTGTCTATTCAGTGTATGTTTTGATTGATCCTGAGGATGATTTAAAAAAATAATAATCTGTAAATGTTTTATGAAAATGAATCTCATTCATCAATTCTAAGATTCAGTGCAAAGATTCGTAACTGGTTGTAACTACTGTACCCATCACTGCACTCTGTACTCCTTAGCTTCTCTCCATTGGCTCCCTGTCAAATCCAGAATAGAATTCAAAATCTAACTTCTAACCTACAAAAAGCTCTCAACAACCTAGCTCCATCTTATTTTCAAGATCATATTGTTCCATATTTTCCCAACAGAGCACTTTACTCTCAGACTGCAGGTTTACTCGCGGTCCCTAGAGTTTCCAAAAGCAGAATGGGAGGAAGATCTTTCAGTTATCAGGCTCCTCTCTTTTGGAACCAACTTCCAGTTTTAAGACTGGGCTTAAGACTTTCCTTTTTGATTAATTCTATAGTTAGGGTTGGCTTCTTATGAAGCCTTAAGCTGAGGATACTAGAGGACAAACTGACCTCAATTCCTTAAATGAATTGTTAAAATTGAATAGCTTTCATTTGATATTATTTCTATATTAACATGTGATTCTTGACCTGCCATTGTGTATCTGTTTCTCTCAAACCCAGCAGGTCGAAGCAGATGGCCACTTGTCCTGAGTCTGGTTCTGCTAAAGGTTTCTTCCTCATGAGGAAGTTCTTCCTTTCCAAGCAGTCTGCTCCTCAGATAAATGGTGTTAAATTATTTTTTTTAATGAAGGTTTCTGGGAACTTATTTTTATATATGAATGTTTCTGTTCAGTGCCCTGAGGTGACTTGTTGTGACGGTGCTAAATAAATATACATATATATAAATAAACTGAATTGAATTGGTCCAGGGTGTACCCCGCCCCTCGCACAGTGATTGCTGGACATGGGCACCGGCGACCCCCGTGACCCAAAATGGAATAAGTGGGTAAAGAAAATGGATGGATGGATGGATGGATGGATGGATGGATGAATTGGTCAGTTTGTCATCATTATCTACACATAGGCTCTCATACTGGTTCATTTTCATCTATAAATCCCTCCTTGGTTTGCTACCTCTCTCATGTCACATCGTCTGTGCAGTTAGTTACATGTGCTCTCAGGACATCATTACCTGCAGCGTTCACTCAGTGCGGACTGAACTTGACAAAAAGGCCTTTTCCTACTCTGCTCCTGCAACTTGGAACACCTTGCAACAAGAACTGAAGCTGTCCACTTTAATTTCTTTAGGGGATTTTAAACATTATCAAATGTTTAAAATAAGATAAGGTCAATAAAAACATCAAAGTAAATTTGTTCTTGTTTTTAGTATTCTACCTTGTTTTATGGCACCTTGCTTTATTGTTTTAAAACAGTACTTTTATTTTAATTGCATTTTATTGTAGTTTATTGTTGTCTGTACTTTAAATGTTGTCTTTCTAAACCAGGTCTCTCTTGTAAATGAGCCTTTGTGGCTCATTGAAACTAACCTGTATAAATAAAGGCTGACTGAATGAATGAAAAATTCATGTGTGCTTGTAATCTAGCCTGGAGACTTCACACAAATGAAGAAACAAACCAAATTACAAGACTTTGGATTTCTACAAGCCAGGAGAGGAATTGCATTTGGTTAGAAAAGCGTAGAGGTTCACTCTAAAAAGAACATTCAGCATGTAGGGCTGGAATAAGTCAATTATTTTGCAAAAGGAAAACCAAAATACTTTGTTCATCTTTGGAACCATATTAACATTAGAAGGTGGAACGTAAACTATGTTTGTAAATAGGCGATGTATATTGTGATTGCATAGTGCATTTCATGGATGCATAATTGATTTTTATGGCTGTTTATTGTTGTATACCTTATCTGTGGCATGTCTAAAAACAAACAGGTATCACTTGAAAATGAGTTCCTCGTCCTTAAACCTGTAAATAAAGGTTGAATGAATAAATGAATGAATGACACAATTACTGTGTGTACGAAAGTGAGTGACATTCTGATTATTGGTGAAATTGTGATATTTGTTCTCAAGATCTATGTCAAGATGTCTGTGATGTAATGCAATAAAAACAAGAATTGAAAAAAAAATTCTGACACTCTTTCCCAACATCCTATAAAAAGTGGCTAAAGATGTTTCCATTGTCCTTTGGAGGTTCAAATTGATCCATTCAGACAGAGTTCTAACTAATGTCCCTCAGAGATCAAACAAGTATTATTCTATTCTATTCTGTTCTATTCTACTCTATTTTCTACAGCTCTCAAAGCTAAGACAGAAAATAAGAAAACTTTAAAACACCAGACTTTTGCTTTTTATAGGCTATATTTTCTCCTTTGAAGATAACTATTTTGCCCTGTAACTTTCAAAGAAGCCCTGCTTATTGCGTTTTTTGTTTTATTTGTCTTATTTAGTGGCAACAACAGAAGAGCTGACACGAGCGTGGCTTAAAGAATAAGCTGTTTTTAACAGGACATAAAAGAAAAACGGACATATTACTTACATGTATGTAACTTGTTTTTTAGAAAGAAACATTCGAAGTCCAGTTTCCTCTTCCATGTGTTTCTTTTTAGCTCTTACTTTACACTCTTACTGCTTGGTCAGAATTATTCAGATGGAATCTACTTGCTTAATAAAGCTTATGACTTTATTAATTTTGTCATTAATATTACGAAATCGTTTTTAATTCCAGTTTTTTTTTTTTTTTTCAATTCAAATAGCGTGTCGAGTTGATTCCTCACGTCGATATATTTTTTTCCGAGCAGCACTTGAAGGCATCTTTGCCCGCATTGGTCACCTGACCTAAACTTGGAGTCACGTGACCAATATTCCATCCTCGCCATTTTGCAATGTGGAAAGGAGGGAGGCCACTTTTTATGGCGAACGAATAAAACAAAGCAGTTTATGTGCTGAGGACAAAGAGCGTCGAGCCCTTCTGTGTCAGTGAGTGTATTTAAGCTTCCACACTGCCACGCGCTCCTTCGTCTCGTAAAGATAACTGAAACGTCCTTGTACATTTGTTAACAGCTCTCTGGACACACTGGCGTGCGTGTGTTTGAAAAGCAAGCTGTGAAGCTAAAGAGTGTGTCCTTTTGTTGAACTTTTAATTTTTTGTTAGAAAAAAAAAATGCCGACTTGTGTTCAGAGTGTTTTAGCTAGCTAGCATCCGCCATTTATTGAATGTTGGGTCAGAGTCTGGGAGAGTTGAGTGCAACTTCACGCCAGCGGTGGCCGGTGAAATATTTTTAGATCCTGACATAACAGGTGTTCTGAGACAGGCCAAAGCCCACGTGGTGGTGTATAGAAACCGAGCTAATTTATTTAGCACGACGTGTTTCAGTGAATTAGCTTGGAGTGTTTGACAGCTAGCTGCTTTGAATAATAATAATAAAAAAAAGATTCACGTGTTGCTTTTATATTACGTCATATTCCCTTAATTTATTTAGCTACACCTCACTGAACTTTCACTGACTGTCTGTGGCATCCTTCCCTAAAATAAACAAAACTGTCCTGGGTTTAATTCTGGATGTCCATAAGCAGAAGTGGAAGAAAGAGGAAGGAGAAATGCGGTCAGAAAAGCAGAACTGGGGATGTGTTGGATAAGTGAAGATAAAAGGAGTTGTCTTCACACGAGGGGACCATTTCCTTTGAGTTTAGTTTGTCAACAGATGCACATGGTGTCTGTGTGTTTCAACACCGAGCATTGAGCAGAGCTTATCATGAATGGATTAAACTGTCTCACTTATCATAGTGGTTTGTTTGGTCCTGCTTTCACTCAGATACACAGTGCATCCTGAAAGAATTCACAGCGCTTCACTTTTTCCACTTTTTGTTATCCTACAACCTTATTTCAAATTGCATTAATTTAACCTATTTCGTTATAATTCTATAAACGCAATACTTCATTATGACAATGTGAAAAAAGGTATAATTTTTTGCAAATTTATTAAAAATAGCAAAGAAATCACATTTATGCAAGTATTCATAGCCTTTGCGTAACACTTTGTTGATCCACCTTTGGCAGGAATTACAGCTTCAAGTCTTTTTGAATATGATGCTTCAAGCTTAGCACACCTCTCTTTAGGCAGTTTGTCCCATTCTTCTTTGCAGTACTTGTCAAGCTCCATCAGGTTGGATGGGAGACGTCTGCGCAGCCATTTTCAGATCTGTCTCCAGAGATGTTCAATCAGATTCAAGTCTGGGTTCTGGTTGGGACACTCCAGGACCTTCACAGAGTGGTCCTGAAGTTCCTCCTTTGAGATCTTGGCCGTGTGTTTTGGGTCGTCGTTCTGCTAAAAAATGAACTGTCGCCTCAGTCTGAGGTCAAGAGTGCTCTGGAGCAGGTTTTCATCCAGGATGTCTGTACATTGTTGCATCCATCTTTCTCTCAATCCTCACTAGTCTGTCAGTTCCTGCTGCTGAAAAACGCCCCCATAGCATGATGCTGCCACCTCCATGCTTCACTGTAGGGATGGTATTGGCCTGGTGATGAGCAGTGTCTGGTTTCCTCCAAACATGAGTCCTGACCTTCACACCAACAAGTTCAATCTTTGTCTCATCAGACAGAGAATTTTGTTTCTCGTGGTCTGAGAGTCCTTCAGGTGCCTTTTGTCAAATTCCAGATGTGTTGCCATGTGTCTTTTATTAAGGAATAGCTTTCATCTGACCACTCTACCATACAGGCCTGATTGGTGGATTACTGCAGAGATGGTTGTCTTTCTGGAAGGTTCTCCTCTCTCCACAGAGGAACGCTGGAGCTCTGACAAAGTGACCATCAGGTTCTTGGTCACCTCCCTGATTAAGACCTTCTCCCCCGATTGCTCACTTTAGATGGCTCTAAGAAGAGTCCTGGTGGTTCCAAACTTCTTCCATTTATGAATGATGGAGGCCACTGTGCTCATTGGGACCTTCAAAGCAGCAGAAATGTTTCTGTATCCTTCTCCAGTTTTGTGCCTCAACACAGGAGTCTTGGAGGTCTACAGACAATTCCTTTGACTTTATTTTTGGTGTTTGTGCTCTGACATGCACTGTCAACTGTGGGGCCTTATAAAAATAGGTGTGTGCCTTTCCAAATCAAGTCCAATCAACTGAATTTACCACCGGTGGACTCCCATTTAAGTTGTAGAAACATCTCAAGGATGATCATTGGAAACTTTGCATCTGTGCTCAGTTTTGAGATTCATGGCAAAGGCTAACATAAATGTGATTTCTTAGCACCAGCAAACTGTTTTTTTTTTCCTTAACCATAGAATATGCTGTTTGTGGGACTCAGTTTGTTTGGTGGCTCAGACTGAAGAAGTCCTTTGGACGAAGGACAAAACATCTCGGCATAAAAGAAGAAACTGTCCAGATGACCTAACTGAACATTGTTGAATTTTAACTGGATTATTGAGCATGAACTTTGGTGTATGTAATGTCTTAGTTTTCTATTTTTAATGCATTTGCAAAAATCTAAAAAAATAAATAAATACATTTTCCTCTCACATTGTCATAATGGGGTATTGTATATAGAATTTTTGAAGAGCAAAAATAATTTAATACAATTTGAAATAAGGCTGTAATATAACAAAATGTGGAGAAAGTGAAGCACTGTGAATCTTTCAGGATGCACTGTACCTTTCATTTACTTAACCCTGTCAAATACAGACCTGTAAATCAAAGTACTGGTATATAGGACAGTATGATTTTATTTTCTTATAATCAGAGCATCAACTGGTACTTTTATTTTCTGATATTGTAACTGACTCTTTCTTTTATCCATTCTTTGCTGTCTGACAGGTCATGGATGAGAACAGCAGTGTTGCTGTCCTTATCACAAAGCCCTCCTCTCCATCCGCTTCTTCCTCTGTACTGAGATCTCACTGTCAAACCCAAACTCAGCAAAGTATAGCCCAGGATGTTCCAGCAAACATCCAGCAGAAGCAAGCTGATGACTCTCTCATTCAGGTCATTGAGAAGCTCAGCAAGATAGTTGAGAAGCGGCCCCAGCGGCGCTGCACACTGGGGGCACAGAAACGAGGACTCAATTCAACCTCCTCTGCCAAGGGAAAAGGAGGTGAGGAGGAATTGAGTTGGGAAGGCTCTCATTACAAGAAAATGAGAAAGGGCTGTAATGAGGAGGTGAGAGCAGATGGCAGCGAGGCTGACTGCCCCCTTTCTGCACCCGTGCCAGGTGATAACAACAATAACATCACCTCTACGCTATCCAACACTGACAATTTCACCAGCACTGACCAAAAATGGACAGTGACGTGCTATCAGTGCAGCCTGTGCCCATATCTGTCCCAGACACTGCCGCAGCTCAGAGAACACCTGAAGCAACACAACGAGCAACACAGTGATCTTATCCTTATGTGCTCCGAGTGTCACTTTACCTCCAGAGACCAGGCGCAGCTAGAGGCGCACGTCAGGCTGCACTTTGATGATCAGAGCAACACAAATAGGAATTCTGTTCATTCAGATCCACTCACCCTACAGGAGGGAATTGTTTTTAAAAAGGATGATGATGATTACACAGATATGTGTGGAGTAAGACCCGAGGAGATAAAAAGTTCAGTAGATAGTTCCAAAGAGCTCCCACAGAAGAAGAAATGGTACAGCTATGAGGAGTATGGTTTGTACCGGTGCTTGATCTGCAGTTATGTGTGCAGCCAGCAGCGAATGCTCAAAACCCATGCCTGGAAGCACGCTGGTCTTGTTGACTGCTCCTATCCTATTTTTGAGGAAGAGGAAGGGGCTTCAACAAGAAGAGAGGTGCAAGCTGCTGCTAACAGTGTGACGCTCAGAGAAGATTTAGTTGTTCTTTCTCCGGTTCTTCAAGAGAAAAGCCAGCAAAAATGTCCATCTGCATTCAAACTCCAATTCTACATGCCTGTGACTGCTGAAAACAAACAAGATGCATTTAGTCATTCAGTTTCAGATCCTGAGGAAAAGCAAAAAGTTGCAGAAGAAGAGGAGGAGAATGGATATTCTGTCAAAGATGTGAGTTCTGAAGAGCCAATGGTGGAGGTGCAGGTGACAACTGAGGCAGACGTTGATGTGGACATCAGTGGTTGTCGTGAGAGTTCCTCTGTTACCGACAGCCTACTGTCTTCGGCTCAGAAGATTATTAACAGCAGTCGAAATAGTGCCGGCCATATCAATGTGATTGTGGAGCGTCTTCCTTCAGCTGAGGATTCAGTTATGGTGACCAAACCACTTCTTCTAGGCTCAGATGATGACAGGGACAAGACTTTATTGGATGTAAAGGAGGAAGAGCAGGACCCCTTAGAAAGTGTGAAAGAGGAGGTGGTCCTTGGCTGTAGTCCAGGTAAATCTGCAAACAGTCAAACATTAGATGGTGATGATGCATCCTCTGTCAGTAAAGATAGTGATCCTCCAAGAGATGAAAACATTCCTCCAGCTGGTCGCAAGCGGACACATTCTGAATCACTCCGTCTGCACTCTTTGGCTGCAGAGGCACTTGTGGCTATGCCTATGAGGATGCCTGAGTTACATGTCTCCAGCACCAAAGTAAGTCTTAAGACCATCTCACCTCAGGTGCAAAGCCCACACATAAGCCAGAGGCTTCTTGAGGTGACTAAAAGTGGACAAAATACTTCAGACATGGAGACAACAGCTCTACTGGACTTGGAGCTTTGCAGTGGTGGTAGAGAGGGGGATTTGAAAGCCCTGGGTATTGGGGAAGGAGACGAAGAAAGCCCCACCACTAAAGCTGGTATAAGTCTTTCTCTGCTCACTGTTATTGAAAGACTCAGAGAGCGCTCGGATCAAAATGCTTCAGATGAAGACATATTGAAGGAGCTTCAAGATAATGCACAGATCCAGAATGGCACTGTAGATGAAGCAATCACTGGGACTGGAGCAGAGAGTTACATTTGTACCATTTCAGAGATGGATGGGTTGGTTAGCTCAACTGATGGGAGTTTGGTGGATTACATCCCTGGCAGTGAAAGACCTTATCAATGTCGTCTGTGTCAATACAGCAGCAGCAATAAAGGTTACATTAAACAGCACCTGCGAGTGCACAAGCAGAGAGTGCCGTATCAGTGTCCCATCTGTGAGCACAAAGCCTCAGACAGTAAGGACCTGGAAAAACACATGATCTACCACTGCAAGACCAGGATGTACCAATGCAAACAGTGTCCAGAAGCCTTCCATTACAAGGTGAGCAACCTTTTACTGCTTCTTCTACCAGTTTAGCCACAAGAGGTTGTAATGTTCAAGAGGGCTAGGACACAGTATAGATTAGACAAAATGTGAGTCGAAACAGTCTTCTAACATGCATTCACTTTTCTATCCTCCACTATTCACCATAAAGTAATCAAGTGCATTATAAAAATATAATTTAAACAAAGAAACTTCCTTCCCAGTAATTTATTTAGTCAGTCACATATGATGGTCTAATTACTACTGACTGCAGCAGTATTTTTTCTTTGCAGAGAAGTAAAGATCTCAGACAAACAATGCATCTGCAAAGATAACATTACTTAACACAGCTCTGTTTTACAGCTACATTAGATTTATTCTTCTGGCTAAAGTTTTACAAGGCAATGCTGAACTTTAGTTTGCTAACTTGGGGGCCGAGATGGGGTAGAGGTAGGGCAGCCAACCTGGGGCCAGAAAGTCATGGTCACTTCCAGCCATTCCCACATGTCGTAATGTCTCTGAGCAAGACACCTAATCCCTAATTGCTCCTGGGTGCTTGCATAGCTGCCCACCCCTCCACCTGGGTGTATCTCACGTGTGATGGGTTAAATACAGAGAACTAATTTTGCCATTGCATGGGAAGGAACATACAGTGATGACGATCTCAAACTTCCCTTCTCCTAACTTGATAAGCACGTAGCTAATGACAAGCGAGTTGGAGGATTGAAGAGAATTTATTATTGTTGATTGTTTTTTATTTTTATTTTACATATAAGTTAAAAATAAACTTTCCATCCTCTGTTCAGCAAAATATGCTACACTGTATTGCTTGCTGCTTCAGCTGTGCTGAAAGTGAAAATTAAAGTGGCCATGATTTGAAAGTAGTCCACATGCACCCTCTGCTGGATGCTTTGTACAATTACACCTTTTACAAGCAAGGACATGGCTCATTCCCAGAGTTTATATCAGCTCATAATGGGACTATTATCACAGATACCAACATGTCCCCAAACGCCTATATTGGTCTAAAAAATCAGCCCTATTGATTTATCAGTTGGGCTCTACATTTAATCACAGTTAAGTAATATTTGTGTGTTGTCACAAGTATTTGCAATAATGAACTTGTATGCAAAACTTTTGTAACAGTCGACATTCAGCTGAATGAAAACCGTTGTTTGAAAATTACCGACATATCATATTGTTTTTCCAGTATTTAACAGAGGGGACATACTGATTTCTGGGGTTTGTGCCTTTTTATGATGGTGAATGATTGTGTGCTGGAGTGCAGGTGTGCCTCAGTGTGATCAGCCAAGCTAAGAATAACAGACCTATCTCAAAACCTTGGTGCCTGTTGGATGCAAAGGTTACTAGATTATAATTTTATCCAATGGATTTGGGAGTGAGGTCAAGAGAGTTTGAAACTGTAAATGATGAAGGGCAGTCCACTGCTACGATGTCTGCATCAGAGGTAGGATTAGGTAGCATTAAGGTCTTTTAAACCCGCTGCAGTGTCAGTGGAGATCACCTTTACCTTTATGAACACTTTGAATTATCATTTCTTTGATACTAAATCCCGTGGTGTGCATGGGTGTTTTTCTTTTTAGAGTCAGTTAAGAAGTCATGAAAGAGAGCAGCATAGCTTCTGCAATGATCTAACATCGCTCACAGCAGGCCCTGAAACCATCACCACAGTGGAAGAGTCTGAACAAGGAACAGATGAAGGTAAGATAATGAAAATGTGGGATTTTTAACAGATGCTTTCAGGTAGCTGTAAATGTCTGCTCTATATGCTGTCTCTTTCAGATTGTAGTCAGCAGAAAATGTATAAATGTGATGTTTGCAACTATACCAGCGCTACATATGTTGGGGTGAGGAACCACCGGCGAATTCATAACTCTGACAAGCCATATCGGTAAGTTTTAAATGTAAAAAAATACTTGTATACTGTAATCACTTGAATGTAGTCAGATACAGATGAATGAATGTGATGGGTCAAACAGAGGATGAATGGAAGAGTGTAATCAGCCTAAAACGATTATTGATTAAAACTACCAGCCACTATAAACTGCACAACAATCAAACCAGAGCTGTGTAACCAAGTAGAAGCAGGATGTCACCAAAAAAAGTTATTTAAATATGTGTGTGCAGACAAAAAAGAGTGCATGATGTGTTATCAGGCTGATGATTTGGACTAGGCAGCTAGGGTCTCTGTGATGACCTGGCAATAATAAACAGTATAGCAGTTGCACAGATTTTGACAGGTTACAACATAGATTCTTCAGTTTTTGTCTAGTTTGTTAGCACTTCCATCAAAGAACTCAGAAGAATAAAGTAAAACTAAGACAAAGAAGGAGTTTGAATTCCAGCCATGCCTGTTTAGGTCAGAGTTTGACTGTTGGCTATCTCCAAGCCACTATGAATACTAATCTGGAGAAGCAGTGGGTGATGGATTGATGTCAGTAGTTAGTCGAAACTGCAGCTGCAGGCCTGTTAAGAGCCAACTGGTAAGATGGGGCTCCTTGTGCCCGCTGCTTCCAAACTTTTTTTTGTGTGTTGCAATAACTTGAGTGGCACGTAGTGTGCATGTTGCTGCTGTGCGTGCCGTCCTGCGTGCTGGGACTTTAAAAATGGTCTCACGTTTGGCTTCTTAATGAAACACATGGCTGTGATGAAGAACACCAAATAATACAAAAGTCCACCTCTGCTCCTGAAAATTATTTGCATCTTGATGGACACATCCGAGAGAAGTTGTTTAATACGTGGGTCCCTATGGTTAAACTGAGACAATCGAGCTTTAATGTTAAATTTAGAAAATGCTAATTAACCACAATTCAGTAGTCCCTCATATCGCAGGGATTACATTCCAGACACTCCCGCGGCAAGTGAAAATCTGCAAAGTAGGGACATTTTATTTATTTTAGTATTTATATATATTTAAAGGCTTTATAAACCCTTCTCACATTTACAATGTTTTAAACTCTCTAAATACTCTAAAAGAGTACAGCATAAGAGAGCAGAAAGCCTGATGCTACAGTGACTGAGTCAATCCCGGGGGCGGACTGGCCATTGGGAGCACTAGGACATTTCCTGGTGGCCTGACCCGCTCAGCCACTCTCTCTCCCTCTTTAAACTGATTCACTCTTATTTTTCCACCTAAGCATTTTCTCAGATATTCTACATTTGTTCATCTGACTGTTCATCCCTGCTGCTTAACAGTAGCAATCAGGAAAAGCAGAACCGACTCCCTCCTTTCTCTTTCCAAGGCTGGCTGTCACAGCAGAGCAGAGATACAACAGGTTGCTCACCCACCTGTTGCGTCTCTGCTCTGCTGTGACAGACAGACTCAGAAAGCGAAAGGAGGGGGTAGGGTCTCTCTTTTCACATTGTTAATCGTGGGTCATGTACAATATTACGTTCAAAACCTGTGAAAGAGTGAGTCCGCGTAAGTCGAACCACAAAGTATCGATTGACTACTGTATATAAAGTAATGTATATGTAAACTTCAGTAAATTATTACTTTTGTGCAAGCAAAACTTGCAGCTATTGTTGTTTTTGCTTTTTTTCCTCTCTTCCTTCGACCTATCTTCTACATCTTATCCGTGGGTGTGTCATGGGGCAACAGGTCCAGGAGGAAAACCCAACCTTTCTCTCTCCAGCAACTCTCTCCAGCTCCTCCTGGGGATTCCCAAAGCATTCCCATGCCAGAGAGGGTATTTAATCCCTCCAGCTAGTTTTGGCTTTTTGTACCCCTCCCAATGTAAGCTGTTTTAGGAGTTCTCTGAGACAGTTAGGTCCTAAAAAGCCTCGTCCTTCAGCTCGACAGCCTCAATCGTCGCTGGTGTCCACCAGCATGTCCTTTGGTTGCTACAGCCTGTAGCTTCACATGTTTCCAGTTCACCCTTACCACTTGTTTGGGTTTACCAGGTCTATCTGGCATCCGCCCCTGCCACCAGATCCAACTCACCACTAGTGGGTGATGAGTTGACTGTTCTGCTCATCTCTTGAACTGACTGTGCAAGACATGGGGCCACATCATGTCTGTTGATGTGGTTACAAAATTGATAATCAGCTTGTGGTCTAAGGTGGGCTGGTACAAAAAAAAACAACACTTATGGACCACCCTATGCTCAAACATGGTGTTTGTTATGGACAGCCCATGCCTAGTACAGGAGCTCAGTAACAGAACATCACGTGTGTTCAGATCATGAAGGTCATTCCTCCCAATCACACCTCCTTAGAAAACTCTTAATTTCCCATATGGGCAATGAAGTCAGCAGAATACACTGATGCACCTTTTCAGGATACTATCCAGAGACTCCTAGCAGGCTGGTAATGTGAACTGATGTTTGGTGCATGTGCATAAACAACCGTCAGAACCTTCCCTCCTGCAGCACAAACTTTTAACACAGAGGTGCTCTGCCAGACCTGTATGGGTATCCCCACACTCGCCCAAAGGGAGGGTGCCAGACTCAATTTAGCCAGTAGTTTGCAAGCCAGGGGCCCTTCTTTGCCTGCCTCCCAGCTCACTTCACAGCCACCCTCAATGATCCTCCTCATAGATGGTTGGCCCACATGAAGGAGGCCTCCTGGCTTGACCACCAGGCGTTCGCCGGTGAGTTACCCCCTCAGGCCTGCCTCCAGGGCCGTGCACCATTTTTTCTACCCTGGGCGAGGTATCTTGATGTTTGGATAAGATGTGTATGGGTCATTGACGTGACGCCCAAGTTTTTTGTCCAGCTCTACTTTTTATAGCTAAAAAAGGTTTAAACGCATTAAAATAAAGCACAGATATGTAATATATCTCCCACATATACACCTACTTTAACTTATCAAAAACTTATTTTTGGCCATTTTTGTTGTCTTTAAAGTGTCAAAACATCATATGGTGCGACTATCCAAACTCGATTACCGTTTCAAAAATGTCTTCGAAGTTACATTAAATCTGTTCAGATCTATTTTATTTATTATTTGACATGATTTTCAAAGTTTTTTCTTCATCCTGTACACATTTTCAAAGCATTTTTAGTTATAATTCTATTATAACATATAAACTAACTTTGTCCGATAATGTCCATTTAACAAAATAAACACCTTAAATAAATGGAAACTTATAAAAAAAGTGTTTAGTACATCATGAAAAATACCTTATTTTAAGATGAATTACAGTCGCACCACATGACATTTTTTAAGACCACAGCCAAATCATGTTGATGAAAAATGTATGAAAATGACTTATTTGAATTTTTAATTATGATTTCTGGGTGCACAACATTTAAAATGTTTTAATGATTGCAATGATATACATATTTTTTTATTTTAGCCTGGTGGAAATCCTTTACGTCAGTGACCCATATATATTTTTTTACATTTTACCTTTGACCAGTTTGAAACGCACAGAAAAACAGATGGTAAAGATGTAAAAAAAAAAAAAAATGCAGTTTTTCAGCCATTTCTTTTGTCTGTTTACACATCTCTAAACCTTTACAACTTTTCTTTGATCGGAGTAGCTTTTCAGTGGTGACCTGTCTGACCCGTTCATGTTCAGTGTGCGCCTTCGCTGCGTTTCTGAGTCCGAATACTTATTCCTAGATTTTAAATCAAGATAAATTTGTCTAAGTAAGTAAGTAAGTAAGTAATATTTATTTATATAGCACCTTTCACAGACAATGACATCACAAAGTGCTTCACAAAGTAAAAGTAAATAAAATTTAAATAAAATCCAGTCTGAATAGATAAGTCTTAAGATCATTTTTGAAAGAGTCAATGGAATCTGAGCAGCGCAGTGACAGAGGGAGAGCGTTCCAAAGCCTGGGGGCCACCACTTGGAATGCTCTGTCTCCACGTGTTTTAAAATAAGTTCTCGGAACTATCAGCAACATTTGATTTGAAGATCTCAAAGTCCTGATGGGACATAGAGGCTTCAAAAGGTCCAGTAAATATTTGGGAGCCTGACCATGAAGTGCCCTAAAAGTTAGAACCAGAATTTTAAAATGACTCCTGAAATGCACAGGGAGCCAATGCAGGGAGGCCAGAACAGGAGTTATGTGAGCTCTTCTGTGGGTTCTAGTTAGCAGCCTCGCTGCAGCATTCTGCACAGATTGAAGGCGAGCTAGGGAAGATTTGTTCAGACCCATTAAAATGCTATTACAGTAATCTAACCGAGATGAAATGAAAGCATGAACAATCATCTCAAGTTCCTTCTGTGATACAATTCCACGTAGTTTAGAAATGTTTCTTAAGTGGAAAAAACAATTTCGAACTAGCAATTTGCAATGACTGTCCAAAGATAAAGAACTATCAAAGACAACACCTAAATTTCTGAGATTATTATTTACCAAAGGATTTAAGAATGTAAGATAGCATTTCTTTTTAGAAACAGTAGTAACACCATACTTGTTTATTTAAAGGTGAAAGGTTAAGTTTTGGCACAGTCATCAGTTTATAAGTGGACTCCACTTCTACCATCATGTTTATTAACGTCTGCCCTTTCACTGAGTTTGATATAGTCTCACTTGTTTCATTTGGTATTCATTTTCCATAATGATGGATTAAAATTCAGCAAGGGCAACTTGGCCTGATCTTGATGTATTCATTTACAAGATACTTTAGATGCCTATCAGAGCTCATTTAAATCTAATTTGTTTTTCTTAAAATATCGATTGTGTCCAATTTATAAACTGAAACTCAAAAGGTTGTCATTTAGAAATGATTTTATTTTATTTTGTTTAATGACCAAATGTTAAAAGTACACAGCTGATCAGAATAGAACATACATTATTTAAATTTCAAACATTTAAGGGAATATTTTCATTTTAAATGTATATTTTAAACATTTTGCAGTGAAGTTCTGTGGAAATATTATGACTAATAATGTCTTAACTGTCCTAGATGACTCTTTGAATGGCGTTGTTT